GGTTACGTAGCATTGAGGAACAGGAAGTTGGTTTTAAGGTCTCACCAGTGAGTCTCAAACAGAGTCAACTAATTCACTATTTAGCGTCTTTAACAAAGTGAATTTTTGGACCGGTTGCATATGCCTTTTAAAGAGTGTGAAAGTTGGGCCTACCTTTATGTTATGAAAAATCCTTTTGTAGAATTTATGATTCCATTCCAAAATCAACAAAGTCTATACCCTCCGGCCGTCTCCCTTGTTTTTGAGGCACGAAATGGACCTTGGACGTCATAATCCTATTTAAAGGGTTATATCGCCTCGAATGGACTTGGATGGAATCAGAGAAAATTGACAGTTAACAATGGACAGGCTTCAGGTTTTCGAGAAAAGATCATGCTGAAGCGAGGACTTTTAAATAAACTGCCATACACTTTTAACGGGTACTTTTTAGTAAATGATCATTTCAACGTGAGAGTAGTAAAACGGTTTCTTGGTGTACCTAATCTACGGCGCAGTACTCCTTTTTATATCTTTAAGCATTTTTTACTGGCATAAGTCTTTTAAATTTGCGGGTTTTTGTTGCTGAGGTGAGGTAGTTGCTCCCAGTGAGCCGCCAAAAAAAGAGAGAATCAGGAAAACAGCGAAATGCTGAACCATGGCGGTGAGAGTTGAACGAGAAGAAAGCGTTTTCTGAAATCAATGTTACGTGCTCATCACTTTATAACAAATATTACAAGTGAATCCTCTGTTCCGGTATATTGTTTGCTTGTTTTTGCTTGTTTCTTATTCCTTTTATGGCAAGTTTTTGCATCTTCTTATTCTCTGTTTATAAGCCCGCTTCAGGATAATGAAATGGGGTCAAAAGATGAACATTCCAAAAATAAATGACAGAACTTCAATTGTTAAAAAAGCAAAAAAAGTTTCATGCATGCAGGCAGGCAGGCCGTTTGGTGAGCTCAGCGTTTGCTAACATGAAAAATCCGGACCAAAAACGAAGTTTATTTATGACAAACAAATTTGAAAGCAAATGTTTGCGGAAATTCTACATTTCAAGTAAACACGAGAAAGAATGCTATATGAAGACGACATCTTACCTCGAGGAACCGAATCGCCATTTTTGTCAGCACTTCATGCCAAGAACGACACAACAAACCTTTTCGGCTATAAACTTGGCAAGTCAACAGAAAACAACAAAGCTCTTCTTTTTTTCTCAGGTAAGGAAACAATTCAAACTTTTAGCGGTTCCATTTAAGTCATTACGCTGTTATTTGCGAAGTGATAAGCTTGTGAATTGTCATGTTTGAAAATTCTACAAAGATCTATTTTTAAACTGTCGCGTGTCTAGCTGACCTGATCTGTCAATCAAAGCGTACTTTTTAATGGTTTCCTCTCTGATTTTGTTGGGATCACTTCGTGTGTAATACTAAAACAATTATTCTTTTCAATCTCGGTAAATAGTGGCTTTAGGAATATTTACCTCGCCACTTCGTGGCTCGGTAAATATTTCGCCTTATTCCCCTCGATTTCAAAGAATGATTGTTAAATATAAGTCGATTATCTATCTGACGCGAACTTTCCACCGGATAACCCGTCTCAGTCGGATAATCCGTCTCTAGTTTAAATGCAGCCAATAGAAGGTAATATACAAAAGGGTGTCTTTTCTGTCAAAAACGCTAAGTGCAGGGTTCAGGGGTTAGTCCTCGGGGCGGAGCCTCCCCATATAAAACAGTGTTGAGTAGATAGCCTCCCCAGCTATTATAATGTAGAGTCAGTCAAAAAGAGAGAGAGCATCGTCCTGATTCTGTGCTTTAGCAGACGTTACATAATCAATGTAGAACGTGAACCTATTCTTTCAAAATATACCTGCTGCAAAATACTGTTTTCTACTGAACTAAGGCTTGAACCCAGTCTGTCACTAACGTAAGGACCGTAGCTAAAAAACTCACATACCGTAACAACCGATTATGAACCCCCCCCCCCCCCCCCCCCCCCCCCCCCCTTTTAGAAGACGTTAAATAATCAATGTAGAACTGGAACATATTCTTTCAAAATATCCCTGCTGCAAAATACTGTTTTCTACTGAACTAAGGCTTGACCCCAGTCTGTCACCAACGTAAGGACCGTAGCTAAAAAACTCACATCCCGTAACAACCGATTATGAACCCCCCCCCCCCCGCCCCGGCACTTATAAAACCCCCAGTTATAGAGCAATCTTCCTTTAAACAAAAACTACATACGATTATAAGTCTCCCCGAATATAAGCCCCCCTCTAGCACCAATTATAAGCTCCCTGTGAAATCTATTTATTATCAATTACGTTTTGGAGCTTAATTTAAAACCAGTGAAAGCAGACCGTCTTTTGATCAGCGCCACTATAGCGTATTTCAAAACTCATTTTCTATTCCGTTTTTAAGCCGCCTTGGATATAAGACCCTCGGAAGTTACGGGGCCAATCAAAACACGCGAAAATTGCTAGTATAGTTAGCCACTGAAAATGGCTAAACATCTACCCCTCTTTAGGTTCGGTACATAGCGATAGATATTAATCGACGCCCATTGCATTGCGGTTATCTCCACCATTATTTACCGCCTTTTGGAAAGATAGTCGTGCACCTATTCACTAGGAAACAAAATAAAATTGCGTCTGAAAGTATAGCGGTACCAAACGGTAATGCTAACGGAAAATTTAATTTGGCCAACGATTCAGTTTTGTTTTCGGTTTGACTTATATCTCGGGATGAAAGGTGATGACATCATCAAGTACGTGACTTGGGCAAACTGCTTTTATCTCTGTTCATTTAGAACGGTCCAATTTACTTATTATAGATCTTAACTATAGTTTTGGGGCAGGCCACAGAGTAATGGAATTCTGCGATAGTTGCGCCTTCTTGTTTTTGTAAAAGGCGGTTTACATGCGATGGTCTCCATGTAATACCTGTGTTTCTACTGATAGAAGTCTTGGGTTTATAAGTCACCTGGTTGGATACCTAGGCTCCTGGAGGGGGTACTCCCTATAATGGCCTATACGGGGAGGCTGCGCCCGAAAGGGGTACCTTTTTCAGGCTTCAGGTATACGAAAGGGTAGGGAGTTTTCTCGTTGACGTATATGAAAGGGTAGGGAATCTGTCATTTGGGTCTGTTAAAGAACCCAAAAGGACTGACAGATGAATTTTACGGCTTTATAAAGTCGAGAAAACGTTTAAATCTTTTGATTGATTCCCATTCAAATGACAGTGCATTTACAGCAATCAAAAGGAATGCAAAGTTCCAAACAAGGTATATGAAAGGGGTACTATACCATTTGTCAATAGAAGGTATACGAAAGGATTCCTTTTTCGTGAAAAATGGTGTATAAAAGGGTACGGGGTTGGACCTTAGGACCCGTATAAAAATTTGTTGAGTACCCTGTTCCCCCCTCCCCCGGGCCTAGGCTAAGCTCTCTTCTTTATTTTAGGTATATTATACATACTGGGCAAAGGCGGCTATTCTATACCACAAACTTTATTGAATCGGCATCCTCCTTAGGTTTTCTCCGACCTAGATTTAAAATCAGAGGAGCTCTTTTGGGGTCGATGTTGTGCTCATGCTAAGATAAAAATGTAAGTATTTTCTTACCCAAATTATTGTGACGTCCTCCCCTCCCATTTTCTAGGTTAAGAAACCCTGATAACTGGGTACGTCTTTATCTATAAGCCCAATTGAACAGACAAGTCGGCAAATAGCTGCATTGGATAATGAAATCAATATTGAGAGACTGTACGGGAAAATCTCTGTTAAGGATCAAGCATAACGAGTTCGATCTTATTTGTTAGGAAAAACAATGGACAAGATTTGTACATACTGTTAGACTGATTGTCTTTTATTGTAAGCTTTAATCACACATAAAGGCAAACTGCATTGACATGCAAGAAATATAACAAAGATGCTATCTAAGTGATAGGAAGGTTTCTTGACAAGAATCTCAATGTTACGAGTAAACACATATTCCTCTTTTTCCGCTGTGGCAGACATTCGAAAGGGAAGGGAAGGAATGGTTTTGGTGCGTGAGAAGCACTTAAGTGCGCGCGAGGAAGGAGGAAGGGGAACGTTTTGCTCTCCTCCCTTCTCCCTCGCGCGCGGTCTCGCGCCTAAATTCCCTTTCCTTTCCCTTTCCAACGCCTTCCACGCAGGCTTAAGATAATCAAGTTATCCTATAATCATATTCATCTTCCTAGCTAACTGATATAAATTTTCTGAGGTGCGATTTTAATCCTCGAATTCTAATCCGCTTTTAATAATGGTCTTCCCTCGAAGCGGTTTGGCTACAAAAGGAATCGTGCAGTGTGATTTAATTAAAGCACGATTTAATTTTAAAAATCATTTTCACTTCCGGATTTAATTAAAGATTTTTCAGTCGCAATATTTTAAATACAAAGGTTACCTCTTCAGCATATTTGTTTTCCGCTGAGATGAAAGATTATATCACGACCTTTACTTTGACTACATCTTTATAGCAAATGAACGACAATCTGATGGTATAAATGGTAAGCCAAGAGAGAATTGGTTCCCCTGAAGCTGTAGTGATATATTTTGCATCCATAACATATCACCTACAAAAAGCATTGCCAATCAATCACTCTCAATCACAGCCATCTTGTCTTGTCACGTAACGAGAAGGAGCGGTACGTTACAAGACAAAACGGCTGCAACGGCCGGAAGACCAATTCCCTACGAGCTCGATCACCCGATTATTATTGTGTCGTCACGAAAGGTGCCTCCCCACAAAGGAACTAAAGAAGCGCTGCGTGTCAAAACAAAGAGCTGCTGTACAGGACTAACATGTCAACATAATAATACAAAATCATGATACTCAGTGTTATAAGAGTTTACTATTGACAATATAATTCGACGGAAGTAGCCACAAAGGGCTAAAAAGAAAATAACCAAAAACAATGCTTTCGCACCTTCCGCTTTATAGTCTATATTTGTAGAATGCTATTCTAAGGTAGTTAAAACAGCGCAAAAGTTTAAGACTCCCCTTATTAGGACTGGGACATAGATACTTCTTCAATCATTATCCGGGATACTGAGTCCCACCCAGTGTAAGCATCGCCCAAGGTGTGGCCACTACTACACTGTCCTACCCATAATTCCACTCCAACAGCGCCTTGTGGAATGTTTTCACAGTACCCCTCAAATGACCGATGGTGCAGCAGTTCAGGATTCTTTGATGACCAGTTGTTGTAAACAACAGCCTCAATCGTCCTTGGTCCACTGCATTCATTTCCATTGAACTTGAAATACCACCGGTTACACTTAGAACCACTTCCATAGACCCTCGTGTTTCCCTGGAATGAGACTCTGAGTGCTGAATTAGACTGCAGTTTGTTAAACGCACAGTCCTGGAATAAAATCAAACAAATCAAACATATTGTAGTAAGGCGAACAACCGTGTGTTATGATCGATTCTAACTACCCCAGTCAAGATTACTTGCTAATTTTTAAAAACTTTGTAATAGCTCAAATTTTCGTTGTCCTTATCCATATGGCCAGGAATCATGTTATCACGCATGATGGTTTTCCTTTTTTCGTTCAAAAAGAACCAAATTGTACGGAAATGTAACTATTTAGTTATTTATGTAATGTGTTAGCAAACGGTGAGTGAGAGGAAAGACATTGTTCTTTGAAATGTTTTAATTTAAAAAGGAATGAATTATTCTTTGGGTTGTGTTATGAATGATTCTTATTCTAATTACCTTAATCTTTCCGTTATCAGTTCCGCTAGCTGATTTCCACACACATTGTTTCCAGTTGGTTTGTGGTACTACACTTGCTTGACTTGCTTTGGCGCTTTCTCCTTTCTCTCCTTTGTCTCCTTTTCTTCCTTGATTTCCCACAATGCCTCGCTCTCCTTTAATTCCCACAGCTCCTTGCTCTCCTTTCATTCCCGCAATGCCTCTCTCTCCTTTCATTCCCAGAAGTCCCTGTTGACCTTTCATTCCCTGGATTCCTTGTGGTCCACTCTTCCCAGGGGGTCCTTCGCGCCCTCTGTCTCCTCTCGGACCCGGCATTCCATGTGATCCTTTATCACCAATTTGTCCTTTTACACCTTCTCTTCCCTGGGGTCCGTGTGGCCCAGGGACGCCCGGCACTCCCGGCACTCCAGGTATACCATTTGATCCTGGAATACCGGGAAAACCCAGCATAGATCGCTAAAGTTGGGGGAAAAAAGATGAATTATAATTAGCAGAGACAAAGACGACGCGGGATCTTAGATAACTCGAGGTGGAGTACTCCTAGGAATTCTTGGCGGGGATGTGCCACCCGGTCCTCAAAATCCTGACTCTATTTCAAACCAAATCACGTCATTTTTTACACGCGTATTCAGACTTGGCCTCTAAAATCCATACTAGTTTTAAGACCTTGCCTCGAAGAAATTATGCTTGTCATAATTACTTAGATTAATTAATCACGTCATTTTTTACACGCGTATTCAGACTTGGCCTCTAAAATCCATACTAGTTTTCAGACCTTGCCTCGAAGAAATTATGCTTGTCATAATTACTTAGATTAATTTAGATCAGCAACGAAAAAGAATTGGCATAATTATTTCTATTTCCTTCTCATTTGGAATTGAAACGATAAATATCGATAAATACGTTCATACACACCCGTAGCTCTCACGCAAACAATGATTCCAGACCAAAATGGACAAAGTCTATACCCGCCAACCGTCTCCCTTGTTTTCGAGGCGCGGAATGGACCTTGGATATCATAATCCTCTTTATAGTGTTATCTCGCCTCGAATGGACGAGGATGGAATCAGAGAAAATTAACAGCTAAAATGGACAGGCTTCAGGTTTTCGAGGAAAGATCATGCTGAAGCGAGGACTTTTAAATAAACTGCCATACACTTTTAACGGGTACTTTTTAGTAAATGAACATAACGACGTGGGAGTAATAAAACAGTTTCTGGGTGTACCTAATCTACGGCGTAGTACCCCTTTTTATATCTTTATGCATTTCTTACCTGGCATAGGTCTTTTAACTGTGTGACGTTTTGTTGCTGAGTTGAGGTGGTTGTTACCAGTGAGCCGGCAAAAAGAGAGAGAATCAGGAAAACAGCGAAATACTGAACCATGGCGGTGAGAGTTGAACGAGAAGACAGCGTTTTCTGAAATCAGTGCTACGTGCTCATCATTTTATAGAAAATATTTTAAGTAAATCCTCTGTTCCTGTGTATTGTTTGTTGTTTTTGCTTGTTTGTTTTTCCTTTTATGGCAATTTGTTGACTCTTCTAATTCTTTGGTTATAAGCCCGCTTCAAGATACTGAAACAGGGTCAAAAGATGAACATTCCAAAAATAAATGGTAGAATATAAATTGATACAAAAGCAACAAAGTTTTATGCATGCTATCACGATTTTGTGTTTCGAACGGTACCCGATCCCTTTCCTCTTTAGTACGTCAAAAATAATCATGAATTTGCCTTCAGTCCAAGTTGGGGATGCTATGTCAGAAAAAGTAGCGGCTCCATTAAGCTCCAGCTAAACAAGCCTTGACGTCTCTGGTGTTAGTGTGTCTATTTTTAAACTCTCACATCTTATACCTTGAAAGGAGTGGGGGAGTGGGGGGGGGGGGGG